CTTTCACTTTTCAAATCCAGGTGATGTTCACTATTCTTGGTCAAATGTCACGGAAGCAAATAATGAAATTATGAGGAACCTGTTTTTCTGTATGGCTGGGAAGCTGTTTAGTGCTACTTTTCTGGGGCAGATTCTTGGACGCATTTCTTAACAGATTCCTTTGAGATAGGGGCATGTAGTTAACTTGTTAAAACAGCAAAAAGCTTGAAGCCTACAGCCCTCACAGTTGGATGTGTTAGACTCTGCAGCTGTCTGAAAGTCCCGAGTGGCGTACTTCAGTTCTAGGGGAGAATTTTGACTCTCCTGTGCTAGTGCTTGTCATGAGCAGCCTTCCTAAATTAATGCAGCTGGGGAAAGGAGATATATGGAAAGTACAGGCAGCCACATTACATTTCAATTAAATGGAACAAAATGCACAAAAATGGCAGCGATGTTTTAAAAAGATGAATGAAGAATTATAGTCTTTGTATGTCATGCTTGAGGTTATCGAAGCCCTTTTTAATAGTCTAATCATTGGAATGGTGACATACATACACATGTACACAAATGTATATATGATGGTTAGTTTAACTTTAAATAGATGTAGTTTTCATTTAAAGTGTCTATGTATTTATGGCCCTTTTGTGTAATAATAAAAGATGATTATGATAAAGGTCACACAATATAAAAATACGAAGTCCCTCAAACTACTTTCCTTCTAGTCATTTCTTAGGAAATTATGCATACATATATTATGATATATGCATTGTAATTTTTGTGAAAATTCTGTAATACTATTTCTACAATATTGAACTTTAAAAAAATCCGATCTCATGTCTTGTTTCCAGATTGATGTGATTTAATAGTCTGCATTCGCCCTTTTTGTGTCACTAAGTATATTAGATACACAGTAGCCCAGTGTGAGAAAGGTGTTGAGGGCACAGCCATCCCACACAAGCTGTCCTTCACAACCCTTAGCTTCAGTGAAGTCACTCAACAGCTGTCAAACCAATTGCACAACTGCTAGTGACATGAAGGGCAGCAGCTGGTGGACAAGTGTGACTGTCTCATTTCTGCATGTGGCTGGAAGGACAGCAGGTGGACGTGTTTCTACTATTGAAATATTTTAAAGAATGATCTACATAAATCTAGAGAAGAAATAATTATTGATTTAATTTTCCCTTATTACTTATCATGATTACTGTTAACACTTTGTATGTTCCCCTTTTTGTGCCTTCTATCAAGAAATTAAGAGCTTACAGAAATTCATTTTTATGTTTATAATTTTTTGAGGGGCAGTGCATTCATAAAAGTGGAATTATGTGTCGGGTTGTTTGAAGATGTTAAGCATTTTGCCCAGTGATTTTACTAAAAGCCGATTCTAGTTGAAGGCTATAGCACTACTGTCTGTAGGCGTCTGGTATATATTTCCCTGGATCTTGTTCAGCAGAGGATGCAAGTTGTTATTTCTTAATCATTTACAAAACTAGTATCTTCCTGATTTAATCTATAGTTCTTTAATTATTTTTGAACTTAAATACTTCTCTCTTATATTTATTTTACTATTTCTCTTAAAAATGATCTCCCAGACCTGAGTCTTCTCAGTTCAAGTAGTAAATACAAAATTTTGAATAAACACAAAAAGACACGAGAGATTGGGCTGAATGACTACTCTTTTATAATGATGCTGTGAACCCAAATAGGAAAGAGAAATGAGCTAATTTTAATAAGATCCAACCTAATTGGAATTTGCAAGATAAAATATATGGAAGTACTTTTCTTGGTCCATGTATTAGTTATGCTGGGGCAGCATGCAGATTTTGGAAATGTTGGAGTCAATAAACAATTATTTACATTTCCTATCTTTATTCTTTAATGTATTTGATAGATCAAAAAACAACATATAAGAAAACTCCTGAAATTAGTTTACTTAAACAATATGAATGGAGTCCATAGCAAAAATATTCTGTTTAGTCATAGTGATCAACTAGTTGTTAGCCAATCTTTTTACTACTAGCTATGAAGATAGAACCAATAATTATCTTAACCTTCCCTTCCTTACTCCAAAACATTTCTCTAAAAAGAAAAATAGAAGTAGGAAGCTCTGTTGGTGAGTGATGGCTCCAGGGGAGCAGGAGTCATTTTTTTCAGAGTTGTAGCCTCTGAGAGACGACTCATTTTCTGACAAATGGTCGATAGCCATGTGAGACTGGCAGTTCTTAGCTTACAGGAGCATTAAGGGAACTCAGTGGGGTTTATAAAAAGAACATGGAATTGAGAGGGAGTAGTCTTGATGGGAACAGGGGAGGAATTGGAGTAGAGGGAAGGGGGGTGAATTTGATCAAAGCACTTCATATGTATGTATGAAATCCTCAACAACAACAGTAATAAAGAAGTTCTGGTGTGGTATCACTTAACAGGGAAGCTGTAGATAACAGTAACCTAGTACATATTTCAGAAGGCTGGAAGAAAACCTTTTGGTGTTTTCACCATAAAGAAATGATAAATGTTTAAGGAGATAGAGATGTTTACCTAGATTTAAACATCCATACATGTATTAAAACTCCATTAATATGTATAACTTTTATGTCTTTTTTGTACCTATTAAAGGCCTGGTGTGGTGGCTCACGCCTTTAATCCCAGCACTCAGGAGGCAAAGGCAGGCGGATCTCTGTGAGTTCAAGGCCAGCCTGGTCTACATAGTGAGTTCCAGGACAGCTGGGGTTATAGGGAGACCCTGTCTCAAAAAGACCAAAAAAAAAAAAAAAAAAAAAAAAAAAAAAAAAGCAAATTTAATTAGGGAAAGTAAATTTAATTTGAAAATGAAATGAATGATGTTATAAAATTGAGGACCTAGTGGGAGATGAGAAATGAAGAGAGCCTTGGCTCTGGATGCCCAGATACCTGGCCCGATGTGGGACATGCCATCTTACACGGGTGAGAGGTAGTTCTGTCTCCTGGTTTGGTTTATTTTGGAACAATCTCCAAAAGGCTGGCCTTAAGCAGTGGGCTGTGTATTCTCCCCATGACTGCAGATTCCAGACATACTGTGATCTTGGACTGTGGTGTTCATTAACCCAGGGTTTGATGATGGTCAGGCTTCACAGCTTCCTCCTGTTTTATGGGAATAGAGGATATTCTTACACCATGTGTGTGCGTGTGTGTGTGTCTAACTTCACCCCTCTGTAAAATTTCTTTTCCTCTTCCATGCTGAGAACTTACATAGTTTTAGATACAAGACTATATCGTTCTTGTATATAAATTTTATCCTTTATTTTGTGCTAACATAAATTAAAGTACACATACAAAGTACATGCATTTACTAAGGGTGGGAGAACACATAGAAAATAAAATGCTGTAAAAGTCAAATTGTGGGGCTGGAGAGATGGCTCAGCAGTTAAGAACACTGGTTGTTCTTACAGAAGACCCGGGTTTGAATCCCAGCACCCACATGGCAGCTAACAACTGTCCGTAACTCCAGTTCCAGGGGATCTGTCAGCCTCTTCTGACCTCTGTAGGCATTGCACGACATGTGTGCACTTACCTACATGCAGGCAATACACGTATACACATTAAAAAAAAGTTTTTTTTCAAATTGTAATTGTATGCACTAAATAAAATATTTGGACTGAGACAGGCATATGATTCTTAAAATGGGAAACATGGTCAAAAATCTCAACTTTATTTCATGCTTTTCCCTGAAGATATTACCTGTGAATGAAAGTATTTATTAGACTACAGTCACTTAATAAAAAGATTTATGTGTGTGTATATGTGCCTCCATAAGTGTATGTGTACCATATGTGTTTAGAAACCTGCAGAGGCCAGAAGAGGGTATCAGATCCTCTGGAGCTAAAGGTACAGGCAACTATGAGCCCCTCATGTGAGCTCTGGGAACTGAACCCAGGTCCTGTGTAAAAGCAGTATGTACTCATAACCACTGAGCCATCTCTCCAGTCCCTACTGCAGTCATTTTTACAGACCTGCTAAGTTCTTGTATTGAAAGAGCTGGGAAGCATTCTGTGAAGAGTTCTGTTCCTATGGAATTTTTCTAAAAATTTCAGAACAGGGAGGGATGTGGCTAATGAGGGCATGGTCCCCTTGTAACCTGCCCTAAGCTCTATTTCTCTGATTGCTTGTTGTAGATGAAGAATTAATGTAGACATTTTAATCTATAATCGATTTTATTTTAATATAAAATATTTTAAATTAACTATCAGTAGAATTATTTTACCTTCTTCCTATAAGTCAGAATGACTCTAGAGAACAGGTACTGTTTTTATCTGTGATCTTGGGGTGCCCTTGGCACAGGGATTGTGAGCTACAGCATACACATAGCTTAGCTAAATAGGTTTGGGATAGGCAGAATGCTCTTTTGAAATGCTCATTTGAGCCATCGTCTACAAGTTTTCATGATCTGAGTCCTTACTTTAAACACTCTTTCATTGATTTGATAAATGTTCCAGTCTTCAGAACTTAGGACGTGTCTTACTGGAATTCATAGTGTAGTTTCCCCTGATTGCTCTTTTATTCTCCAGTAGCTGAAATGAAAACCAAGATAGAAACAGAAAGCTACCCCAAACCAACAGCATCTTCATTATCTGGAGTGTAAACTGGCTACACTCTGTGAATCTGTATTTCAGATAATTATTGCTAAAAAGAGATTTTCTTAACGAGAGAGTATTACATATGCATGTAATTCTTGGTAGGAAAGACCTGATCATGCAGGTTTTTTTAGGTGTAGATGAAATACTGTTTTCTTTCAATTTTGCTTTGCTTACAGCTATTGAAAAAAAATGGCCTAATGCCAAGTTCATTTAGCTTTAGGGACTAACTGAAAATAGTTGCACAAATAGTCCTTGACTGGGAAATTACCCTCTCCAAACAACTCATGCAGACACATTCCAGCAGATGTCCTTGGTCTCTGTTCTGCCCACTATTGCAGGAGCCATCATGGCAGGGAAGCTTGGGGTTATGGAGATGCTGGGAATTTCTCTCCTCGAGAAAAGGGAACTTCAGGACAGATAAGGGAGCTGATCCTAAAGACAAGCTCCCAAGCAGGCTGAGTGTACAGCTGCAGCAGGAAACAGGTAATATGTATACCTTTCCCTTTGGAAGACATTTTCCCTCTGTTTCTGACTTATTTTCTAAAAGCATTTTGAGAATTACAGCATATTGAAGGTGGATCATCAAGGTTTAGATTTTTGTCTAATATGGTATTAGGTGAAGGAAACCGAAGCTTGGTTAGAGTGACTTGTACAAGTTCCCCTCCCTCCCTCCCTCCCTGGCTTCCTTCCTGTCATCTATCTATCTATCTATCTATCTATCATTATCTATCTATCATCTATCATTATCTGTCTATCATCTATCTATCTATCTATCATCTATCTATCTATCTATCTATCTATCATCTATCTATCTATCTATCTATCATCATCTGTCTATCATCTATCTATCACCTATCTATCTATCTACAATCATCTATTTATCTATCATCTATTTATCTATCTATCTATCTGTCTGTCTGTCTGTCTGTCTGTCTATCTATCATGTATCTATCATCTATCTAATCTATCTATCTATCATCTATCTATCTATCATCAATCTATCTATCTATCATCATCTATCTATCTATCTTCTATCTATCAATCATATCTTTCTTATGTGTATGAGTGTTTTGCCTAAATGTATGTAAATATACACTCATGTCATGCAGTGCCTCCAGAGGGCAGAAGAAGGTGTCAGATTCCCTGGAACTGAAGTTACAGGTGGTTGTTAGTGACCATTTGGGTGCTGGGAATGGAACCCAGGTCCTCTGCAAGAGCAGCCAGTACTCTTAACCACTGAGCCATCTCCCTAGCTCCAAGTTTCTGTTCTTAATTGTGGCAGAATACATATATTTAGATTCTAGAAACTTACCCCAGGTTGTTCCTATTAGACTTCCTTTTTTTTTTTTTTTTTCCCCTGGGATGCTCATTGCCTATGTGGACCAGGCTGGGGAATGTTTATCCTGTGTGTAACTAAAGGCTAATGAGAATTTTCAGCATAGACTTGGCACTGTATTTTCAATTAGGATGAGCATATTGATAATGATTTTAATCACAGTGCATGTTGGAGAGTGTGTCTACGGTGAATGGGGAGAGATGGCACATTAGGAAGCTCCTGAGTGTAATTCATGAAAGGATGAAGAGTTAATGTACATCATGTGGTTGAAAAGAAGCAGGAATGAGTTATAGCAATACTAAAGAGGTAGTGAGATGGGACGTGTTGATTATTTGGATATTGTTCACAGAAGAGGATGACGGATCTCAAATTAAGTGTTGGTTTTCTAGGGTCTATAACAAACCATTTTACCGGTTGATGACTTACTCCAGCAGCAGTTTCTCATTTGTTCCCTGTAGCGCAGTTTGGGCCCATATGGTGAGGATTGCTCATCTCTGTTTCATGGCATACGCTACAGCTGGAATTTTCAGGATGCTGTTTGCCCTGTCCTGAGTCTCCAGTGAGATGACTGCCATGTTGGAGCCAGCTGGGAACTCACACTGCATTTTCTCTCCAACTTTAGTTTCCTTCCAACATATCAGTTTCATAGAAGTGTAGTGGTTTTTTTTTTTTTTTTTTTGGGTCTTTTTGAGACAAGTTTCCCTATAGCCTCTGCCTGGGATTAAAGGTGTGCGCCACCATGCCCAGTTTTTTCTTTTTTTTTTTTTTTGTTTTTTTTTTTTTTTAAAAATTACTTCATTCTATTTTAAGCAAGTTTTAGGTTATTTCAGATTTAATTATTTAATGTTATTTATTTATTTATTTTTTGTCTTTTTGAGACAGGGTCTCTCTGTAGCCCCAGCTGGCCTGGAACTTGCTATGAAGACCAGGCTGCCCCCCATCTCACAAAGATTCAACTGCCTCTACCTCCTGAGTGCTGAAACTAAAGATGTGCACTACCTTGGCTGGCTTTAATTTTTTTTTAATTGAATTTTTGTGCACTTCATACAAAATATCTTAATCATCTTTATATCCTCTACCCCATCTGCAAATCCCCCATAGCAGTACCACCAGATTTCATGCATTCTGTCATGTATGTTAAGGCTTATGGAGTCAAGTTTGTGTACCCAGATGTCCCTCCGTGATAGTTCATCCACTGGGGTCTCTAGTCAGCCTATCTATAGTCTCTTCCCTTAAAGATCAGCTTTCCTTCACCCAGCAGCAATTAGCTGCCAATAGTTCTTCAACTAAGGTTGGGACCTTCTGTCCAGCCACTTCTTTTTTTTTTTTTTTTTTTTTTTTTTTTTTCTGATTGAGTGGGTCTTGTGCCTGCTGACACCATTGCAGTAAGTTCATATATATGATCAAGGTCTTAGAGATGTAGAAGGCTCTGTTTCCTTATGAAATGTGATGCTTGGTCTTTTCCCAGAGTTCAAAAGCAAAAAATAAAAACTTCCTCGATACAGGAGGAAGTACACTCTCCTGTAGCCTATATGTAACCTATATGTAACCACAGTCTGCCTTCCAGCCATGAATATTCACATTCCAGGCAAAAAACTCTCCCTCCCTCCCAACTATAGCCCTAGGCACAGACAAAAATACCAGAAATCCATTCACTGAATCATATTTGGATACAGAAGAGGTGGGTTGGCTACACTTTTTCAGATATAGAGACCTGTGAACTAAAAGCACAAGTTATATACCTTCTCATCCCTACTCTCTAAATAGGGACATCAGTGCTGTAAGACATTTGCAACTGCCCCCACCCCTGCCCCCATTCAAAATGATATGCCGGAGTCGTTTATGGCATTACCTGACAGGAATGGTCCATAGCAAGTGTGAAAGTCAGCTAGTTCTTACACCTTTGGAGATAGGAATATTCCTTTATGGTGTCCAGTCCTCACTGGGGATGGTTTTCGGCGGCTCTTGACTCATCTTCCACATCATCTTTCCTTTCTAATAGCAGTGTTTGTATCTGAATAGCCTTTTCAACCTACCTACAGAAGGTGAAGGGGGCATCCAGAGACCTCTTTTTATTTCATTTCATTTTAGTTCAAGCTAGTATAGCTCTGGAAGACTTGATGAGCTTTCTGTATATTTGATACAAGTCACACCAGAAATAGCTTTGAGTTAGATGGGTCAACTGAAGGCTGTTTTTAGTTATTATTTTCATTTTATGTGCATGAGCATATTGCCTGTGTGAATGTAACTGCACCCATGTCATGCAATGCCTGTGGAAGTCAGAAGAGGGCATTGAATCCCCTGGAATTGGAATTAGGGATAGTTGTTAGCCTCCATGTGGGGTGCTGGGAATCAAACCTAAGTCTTCTGCAAGAACAGCCAGTACTTTTAACTGCTGAGCTATCTCTCCAGCCCCAATTGTTTTTATTTTCAAACTCCCACCCTAGTAGGACTCTATTTTGGTCTTTGTCTAAGACAACTTTTAACTTTGCAGGGACCCTACAGATGAGAAATGGGTTTTGTTCTGGACCCATGACATCCTGACTTCTTCACATTTCCTCCTCTTTCTTTTTGAAAACCGAGCAGTTCCTTCTTTCAGAGTGGCTTCCTCAGTGCCCTTCTGGCTTCTACTCCTCCAGGCCATACGAGCATCACACAAAGCCCACTCCCAAAGCCAGTGCCACATGCTCTAGGTTTCTGTTGTAGCAGCACCCCTCTTGTAGTTCTGAATTTTGTATTGCATTTTTGTATGACAAAACATCCACAAACTTAGTGCCTTAAAATGACAGTGATATTTCTTTACTACTTTGCAATCTGAGTTCCCCTGTGGTGAGAACAGAGCAGCTCATGCTCATGTGACATCTTCAGGGACTGGATCTTCAGAGTGGCATTGTCACCTATGGTTGGGGTCTCAGCTGCACTCTTGAAATGTTTGTGGAATGACCAGGTGTATCCTTCTTCCCAGTGGTCTAGCTTAGGCTCTTTCTCAGAGTGGTCATCATGTGCTAATCTGACTTCTTATGTAACTGCTGTGTTTTTTTTTTTTTTTTTTTTTTTTTTTTTTTTCTGAGTGATGCAGCAACCAGACATTCTTAGTGTCTGAGCTTGGAAATTCCAGAATATTCCTTTAGCTGAATCTATTGTCCACAGTGGGCACAGGACCAGCCCAGATTTAAGGGAAGGCAAATGGCCTTACCTGTGTATGGGAGAATTGGAGAAAAATTGTTTTCTCTAATCCTCTAAACTAGGATAAATCTCAAGGTTTTGTTCCTTTCTCTGTGTATTAGATAAGTACTCCATGCCTCAATTACCCATCCTAAGTCAGATTTTTCTGGTTTAGGTAATTCTTAGAATTTTTGATACTATTTACTTGGTTTTCTGGGTAAGGTCATGGTATACTCAGGGATGCATTTTAGAGAAAATTTCCAAAGAAAAAAAAACAATAAACAGCAACAATAGCAACAAATCAACACCCCCAAATAATAAACAAGCAAAAAAGAATATAGAACCCAAAAGTTGTAGACTGCCATTTTCTTTTCTTTTTTTTGACTTTGCATGTATGAGATTTTTTTAAAAAAATAATTTGTTGAGAATATCATATATGCATATAAGATGTTTTGAGTAAATCCATGCCCACTCTCTCTGCTCCAACTCCTCCCATATCTCCCCATCACTTTTTTTTCTGATAACTTCATGTGCTGGATAGCTTTAGTGTCAACGTGACACACCTGGGGTGAGGGAGCCTCAATTGGGGAATTGCCTTCATTGGACTGGCCTGTGGCCATGTCTGTGGGGCATCTTCTTGATTGTTGTGTGATGTGGGAGGGCCCAGCGCATTGTGGGTGGTGCCGCCCCCGGGCAGATGGGCCTGTGTTGAATAAGAAAGCAGGTTGAGCAGGGGCCAGGGGAGCAAGCCAATAAGCAGCATTCCTCCATGGCCTGTGCTCCAGCTCCTGCCTCCAGGTTCCTGCCCCGAGTTCCTTCCTTGGGCTCCTGGATGAACTGTGAGCCATGATATGTAAGCTAAATAAACCCTTTTCTCCCCAAGTTGGTAGTGGTCAGAGTATTTTGTCACAGCAATGAAGAAACAAACCAGAACACTTCATGTACTCTTTCTTATTATTTTTTTCTTTCTTTCTTTCTTTCT